TAAAAAAAAAAAAAAAAGTCAGATCGTTAATATAATAAATTATTAGGTTGCAACTTGTGACGTCTAAGTGATAAAGTTTTCTTCTTTGTATGCAGATAAAATGTAAGAGAGATGATTCCGAGTGCCACCTTTTTAAGTTGTCCAAAATAATATATATGTGTGTGTTTACCATGAATGGTGTATATATCATGGTAAAATATTTCAGCTCAATGGTTCTCTGTAAAGGAGACTTGTTAAGCAGTTGTGCTACTTGCTATTTATTAGTAGGATTTTGCTACTTTGCCACCCTCCATTACAACATGGTTACAACAATGTGTAATGGAGGCATTAAAAAATGCAATAATGCACATTTTTCAATGCCTCCATTACACATGATTGTAAACTATGTTGTAATGGAGGGTGGCTATGTAGCATCACCCAGTTCAACCCTCTTCATTTCAACTAAATTCGCATTCCAACAGATACATAACAAAACCAAAAACAAACTTTGTGTGTGTGTGTGTGTGTGTGTGTTCTGTCCACAACCATCTTTTTTTTTTTTTTTTGGCTTTCGCTTCTTCACTCTAAACAGACGACTGAAGCCCAATGATACCTGCCAAGCATGAGAGCAAAAAACACCACTTAGTCTCATCAATGCATTTCTATCACCATCAACAAAGGTGGGTTTTTCAGTTCCATGACTTTCAACGAGTGTAAAATCCTATCAGTTTGAGAAAGAATAGGCATAAGCATAATTTAGAGATTACCACATCCAACTCTTGCACCTGCATTGCCAGTTGTCTTGCTGAGTTCATGTCCACCTGTGCCAAAAGCAAACAATGCTTTAATACATACAGAGTAGAAGACTAAATGAGGACAACAAGCTTTTTTATGTGGCTGGTGATACCTTTCCCAAGATCATCGGGATCAGCATGCACAACAACAGCTCTTCCCAAAATGGAATGCTGACCAGTTAAGGGAATCTGTTCACAGAAAATTATGAAAACAATGGTAGGGCACAATTCTACTATTTGTCCACTAACACAAAGAATACCCTGTTAATTAAAAATCATAAAATGGTCGGGTGTAATTAATGTTATCTGGATTACACAGTTGAGATCTCACATTAAGCCAATAAGTTCATTCAAGGTGCTATCCAACAAAAATCTGCAAATTGATGCTAGAATTTATCAACGCAAAAAAAAATAAAAATAAAAATAAAAATAAAAAAAAAATCAA